TAGTAGATATAGGATATACAAAAATAAATAAAATTTAAAGAGTAATTTTAATACTATACTTAGTAAGTTTGTATTAAGAGTAAATTTGAAAAACTATGAATATCTAGTAACATTCAATAAAATAATACTTAAATATAAATAGTAATTAGATAGCCCTAATCTGTTTTGTTATAATAATAGTAATATACATTATATATATAAGCAGTAAGTATTGAAAATTAATAAGTTTAAATAGGAGACTTACAGGTGGGTCTCATGTATAGCATCTAGTAGTTAACTTATAGGTAGAATCTTTAATTAGATTATGATTAAAGTTATACATATAACTAGTTGTACTTTCATTAATTTATAATATATAATCTTATGTTACAAATAATAAAAAAGACACAGACAAGATTATTCTTGAACTAAAAAAAAAAAAAAAAAAAAAAAAAAAATACAAAAGTAATATAAATAAGTATTAGAATTATTAAAAAAAATAATTTAAACTTAAATACAATAAGTTAATAGATTGTAAAAGTTTTTCAATTTAATTTTAATATTTTAATAGTTTATATATATAATAATAGTAATAAATATAATTATAAAAAGATGGTAATCTTAATATAATAGTTGAATTATCATTTTTCAAGCAGTAGATCAAGAGTTCAAATTTTATTAATAGTAAAATTTTAACAAATAGTTAATCTAGTAATCTAAATAAAGTATCTAAAATTATAACTCTATAATTCTAATTATATCAAGACTAATTTTAAAAATATATAATATTATATGAATAAATTTAAAAGGTATAAACTAAATAAGAAGTTGAAAAGATATGATAATCTAGTAAAATAGTTAGATTGTCAACTCTCTAAGTGGTAGCTTGAATGTTCAAATTTTATTAATAGTAAAAATTTGGATAATTATCTATATAATATTTATTATAACAACTGTTACTAACAATTAGATTAGGCTACTTACAATAGCAGTTATACTAGCATAACTAACAGAGTATAAGACATTTGTATAGTTATACAAAAGAATGCAAGCCAACAATTGGATAGTGCAAATACTAGATAAGTTTTTATAACTATATAAATTCATTGAAATTGGAAAATAAGAAGCCTATTTGAGAAGACTCAAGTAAAAAGGTAGCTAAATTTTTGTTAACACTACTGTAAAGGCTAGTTTAAGAAAACAGATACAAAGGTTATAGTACTTAGATAGGCAAGAACCTCTAAGTTGAAAAAGTTTAGAGGTAACATCAAACAGACATTAGAATAAACTAGAAAAAAAGAATATTAGGCTGACCTAATATACTAATGAACTGGTTATAGTTTATATAGTTTATTTAAATTAAAAGTCTGGACAAAAGGCAGATATATAGTAAAGTACTAGAGTTATGCTATAAAGTAGATGCTAAGGTTTAGGTAAACTCTACAAAGTCATAATAGTTGAAGATATAACTCTAACTGCAAGTATTAGTTCTAATATAATAATATTTAAGTTAGTTATAAAAATAAATACAAAAGGCTCTTGAGGATTTATTTTGAGAATAAAATAGTCTTAAGCTTGAGACAATGATCTGAACATTTAGATATAACCCAGTAATATTAATACAAATTGTAAATTCAGAAAATTTAAAGTAAAACATCTAAGCAGAAGTGTTAAGTACAGCAATTAGTAGAAAACCTTTAAACAGACTTCTTAAATAGATAATATAAAAGATTTATATATATAGCCAATTGTACCAAAAAAGTATTAATAAAAGTCAAAAGACCAAAGAGGTCACCTTAATACCAAAAAAAAATAAAAAGTTGAATGCTAATAACTTAAATAAAATATTTGAGTGATTTTAGTTGTATCAAAATTAACTTTAAAAAATATAATATTATACAAATAAATCTGAAAAATATATATTAAATAAAAAGCTTTGTTTGAGAATTTTTAATAAAAAAATAGTATAATCTTTGATAATACTGCTTGTAAAAATTTTAATCTGAAAAAAAACCTAAAGCTAATAATTTGTATAAATAAAACTTTTAAGCAAAAAGAATTTACTATCTGATTAATTAATTAATTTGAATATAAAATTTATTATACAGAACTAATTAAATTAATAATATAAAAGAACTTACAAGAGTGTATAAGATATCAGTAATATTATAAAAAAGATACTAAAGTTGTATAAATTTTACAAAAATATAATAGTTTAATAATTAGCCCTAATTTTAAATATTAGTTTTAACTATAATAAAATACTGTATTAGTTAGAAATTGTAATAACAGAAAACTCTAATAGGTTTAGTACAAAGTTAAAAGTTTTTTATATAAGTGAACTGCTTTAAAATCTTTTTGATTATAACATATTTGCATTGGTAATAACTAGAGCAGTTAATAGAATAAATAAATAAATAAAAATAAAAACCAAAATATTTAAATAAAAAATCTACAAATAGGTTTTAAAATATAATAACTAGTATAGAACTCTACTCAAATTAAACAATAACAAAGTTGTATAAATAACTAGTTATAAACTCTTTCTATAGTTGCCCTTATAGTTTAACATTAACCAAAATATACAATTAATAAAATTATAAATTACAAGTACTTACATTAATATTAAAAAACAAAAAAATAAAATTTACTAATTTTGATATAATTGGCTACTATATATAAGATTATTATAGCAATAGATATTATTTATAATTTTTTAATAAAATACTAAAATATATATTTAATTTTAGATTTGTAAATAATTTAAAATTTTTAAAATTTAAACAAATTTATTGTATCATATCTTATATTTTATATAAAACAAATTAAATTTATTATAAAAAATATTAATTCTAAATTTTATTTACCAAAAATGTGAATTTTGAAATATTTCTTGGCAACCAAGTGTTATTAGGACTTAAAACACAGCTGCCTTTTTAGTTTTAAATCATTTTTTGATTTTTTTTAAATTTTTTTGTATCTACTTATATTTTATAAAACTTTTGAATCAATATTAAACAAATTTAACAAACATATTATAAAGTATTTAATACTTATACTATTTAGAACTAATTAATATTATGAATCATAATAAATTTATTAACAAACTATTAGAAAAATTATTTTTTATACTCAATAATTTTAGAATTTAATAAATTAAATAAACAATTAATTTATAAATAGGAAAAATATCACAATAGAAATAAATTTTTAAGTTAAATTTAATTTGAAGAAATATTAATTAAAAAAAACTTATCTAATACTTACTTTAAATAAAATTACTTTAAAATATATTTGGGTTCTAATTTTTGCTATTGATATTATATATAATTTCTAAATACAAAAATATTTTAACTAATAATCAACATACATGTTTTTTTAAAACAATTAAAATTAAATATAATATATTTCAATTAAAGTACTAATAACAACTAAATAAAATTTAAAATCATATTTTATATTTAATATTATGCATAATATGTATATAATTTTGATTAAAAACTTGTATAATTTTGCATTATTTTTTTATTTTATTTTTTTTTTATCTTTACCTTCTTTTGCTATTCTGAAAATTCTTAAACACTTTTAAGCTGTCATATTTCTTAAGGACCAGAGTTATCATTCTGTAAAAATCATCAGACAACATGTGACTCCTATATGTTACTGAACTGTAAAATAACTCATAATCCATTAAGTCTGTTATATGACATCCTAAATCCCTAGTTTCATAATGTAAGACCTACTATCTCCAATCTGCAGTTCCCTAACTTTACATGACCAACCAACCTAATCATCTGTAAATATTGATATTTTTTCTATATATTTATAAACTAGACTCTCTCAATGTTAATGTCATTTGTTGACAGATTACACATTATCTGGTTGTTCCTGACCTTGTGACTATGCCAATCATTGCATTCTTTTTCATATGAATCTTGTTCTTGTTTTTTTAAATAAAAATCCTCTGCAAATCTTTTTCAATCATAATCCTAGTAGAGTTTTTGTCACCCTCTGAACTTGAACTCGCAACCTTGCGATTGAGACCTGGGAGTGAATTTTGTATAATTTACAACTTGGCGCATAGTACTCTATCATAGAGAAGATATCTAACTTGGTGAAATCAAGTGGCAGAAAAGACTAATAATGATTAATAGTTGCAAGTTAGAGCATTACGTTTGTATGCCACACTTAATAATGTAATTATATATCATGATGACTAATTTAACGTAGAGATTTTTTTGGTTTGTCATCCCTTTATCGTGATTTGCATATTGATGTAACTTAGTTGTACTTGAAGTTAACATCTGCTTGAAGTTGTAACTTCAAGCGTCTGAAGTTGAAACTGCCTAAAATTACTAACAAAGAAGCCCTAGTTTCGGAGATTAATTTTAGTTAATATGCCTAAATTGGTAACTTCAAGCAGATATCAACTTCAAACACGACAATTTTGATCAAATTTGTAGATCGCTACACACTTTACAATCACTTTAGTTGTGCAATTATATAATGATTTCTAGTGAGAACAGGTGTGGTTGACAAATTTTATGAAAAAATGGTTATATTGAATCTTTGACCAAAAAACGCACTTTACAATTAGACGACAATCAGGTGATTGTACGGGTGCGCAGTAATCTACAAATTTTATCAAAGTTACATCAGTAGTGTAGCCGTAAACGTACTAACGTTGGAAAGGAATAACTATATATGATTCTCACCTCAAAAAAATTATTGCTTTTATACATTACTGCATTATAACATTGTATGTATTTTAATTACATCATGTTAACGAACTACAAGAACATATAATTTCCTAGCCGATATGTCAACATCAGAGCAAGTTAAAACACGTATGTGCAAGCTCTCCTGAAGATACTAGTAATGATTTAAAAAGATCTAGCAGATGTTGATAAATTTATTAACGTGATCTATATAATGGTGTAAAATTCCTTTATTTTATAGAAAATATGAAATATCACATGTAGTAAAAAATAACTACTACAATAATTCTATGGCAATATTCCCTAAGATCTTTTAATAACTTGAAGTATTTCATATTCTTCTATTTCAAAAAATGCTCTATTATATAAGTACGACTTTTCATCGGGATCCTCCTTGATTTGTTTTTTATAAGATGTAAGTTGACAACAACAGTCACCTTCAGAGTCGTAAATACCAAGGTCAAATCCTGAACCAGTACCATCATCAGTATCAATATAATCACCACCAAAGCACGGACCAGATTTCCGAGAGTTATAAATTGCATTTTCTGAATATTTTACACGACTTAAAATAGACTTTTGTATGGTACCATTCTTCAATGAAAAAATAAAACTCTCATCACAATAAGAAAATTCACCACCGATATTGCTATATGGTTTATTCCATCCTATAGGATTATACCCACCAAGAATTTCATCAGTGCCTTCAACCTTTACAACTACAACGAGATTGTTTCTCCTATTACACAATCTCCAAAATGCTTTGACGGTAAAGCCATCTCTACTTCCACGAAGAAGTAAATTAAAGTCGTAAGGATTATTATTTACCGAATATGGTCTAGTTTTATTATCAATCCACGATGCAATTTCTGCTGAATCTGCTTCACTAATAACTCTTGAAAATTCAGCATTTGCTCTAATTGGTGCTAAAATTGTACGAGGTGGAAGAACTTTTGATGATATTCGGCCTTTTGGGTATTTAGTCTTCTTGATAATATCATTCCAGAGACCTTCATTAAGAATTTTTTTGTAAGGTTGTACATTACTAATAATGTCATCTGCAGGTATTTGAAAATAGCGGATAAGAGGTAAACAATTTTGTAGTGTTGTTTTTAAAGTCAAAAAATTTTCAGGTGACCAATTCTTAGGATAATCAGATAATTCAGGGACTTGTGCAATTCCCCATTTGATGATATAATTCCAAATTTTAACTTCATCCATCTGTAAATCATCACGACCAATAAGTGCAACTAAACCATTTTCTTGAAGTGAAGTAAAACGTTCAGATTTGAAAATTTTTTCAGGATCCCTTGCGACAGTATTAGTACACCACTTTTGTAATTCTTGAAGATAGACATTCTGAAAACTTATTTGATGAACACGTTCAATATTTGATCGAAGCCAAAAATTTTTTTCTTTGATTAAATATGCTTCAAAATATTTAACCAATTCTTCGAGATGAAATACATGAGCCTGAAGCATAAGTTCAAAAATAAATGATTCATCAATATCTTCTAATAAAACGGTTCCTCCGTAAATATATCTTGAATTAATATGATTAATAATTTAAATAAATTACTTTTTTTACGTGTTAAAATACAGAAATATATTTATTTATAAACGACTCACTTAAGTATAATTTCGAATTCTTGGATAGTCACGTCTTTTAAATGAATAATTTTAATGTTATTTTGATCTGCAACAATGTTTTTCAATTCATTACGAAAGTATAAAGATCTATATCTTAAAATTGCAGAGTGTGCTTGAAAGATTTTAGTGTTTGGAGCCTCTCCAACATTAATAATTACATTAAAATCTTCATCGTCATTAAGAAGTTCAAGAAAATCAATAGAAAGTTCTTTAAAAAAATCTGCTTCCATTCTTTTAAAGAAATGTTGATGCGTGTGAATTTTTTTGCGAGCGCGTACTGTATAAACATCTTCAGTAATTGAATGAGATGATCCTCGATTGTGATTGGCCAACGTTGTGATCGACAAAATTCTGGCACGCATTATACATAATTTTGGCCGGAATTAATATTTTAATGTTTTTTAATTCCAAAAAAATTTTTAAGTAGTAAAATTAATGGGAGACGCGATTTCATTATGACCGCTGGCCAATCAAATTTTAAGATCTCGTGTAACACAAAAAGCGCAAAAAAAAACAAACGTTCGTTACGTACTAACAAAAAAATTCCTCGTGAAATTTTACTATAACTATGACCCTTTAAACCAAGCATTAACTTACTGGTGGGACCCTAACCCCAACTAATTGCGTAACAATTTTTTTTAATAAGATCACATGGTGATGCTAGACTTATAAATTTTGGGCTAAAGTTTTGATCGTCACCGTTGGCCAATCAATTTTCTGAGATCACGATTAGGGATGTATTACATAAATTACTTGGTTACGTTTCATGTAAATTACATTATAACCTATGAAATTGTAATGTAACTTTACATTGAATTGCATTGTCACTAGGGTTGTTAAATTACAGTAATTTTACGTAATTTTACGTAAGTTTGTGTAAGATTCTGTAAATTGAAATTTCAT